GCAGGCTAGAGGTCTTTTTGGATATTAAATGTACAATAACACTCTTGGACCAACCCAGTCTCACAGCATTTCGTGTTATAGCCACAACATTTAATCTATTGATTCGTGTTCACCATGCATTGACCCGGAGACACATTCGCATTGACCCGGAGACACATTTTGAGTTGTATACACTGTTGGAAAGAGGAGATTCCTAGCTTTCTAATGATATCAGGATTGTTTTTGTACTCCAAATATTAATCCATCGATCTGATTGATTATTAGCGGAGCAAATGATCAAAATACTACGGTGGGAAGATATTTTCGTTTGGATTACTGGTCTGTGTGTGTGTGTGTGTGTGTGTGTGTGTGTGTGGTGTGTGTGTGTGTGTGTGTGTGTGTGTGTGTGTGTGTGTGTGTGTGTGTGTGTGTGTGTGTGTGTGTGTGTGTGTGTGTGTGTGTGTGTGTGTGTGTGTGTGTGTGTGTGTGTGTGTGTGTGTGTGTGTGTGTGTGTGTGTGTGTGTGTGTGTGTGTGTAATTTTGCGTTTGTGTGTATTGTGTTTGTTTCAACACAAGTTACTCCGTTCACCGCTTGTAATTATGCCGCTACGAGCTTCAAAGCTGTATTTATCATCTGAATTTGCCGAAACAAGTTTAATATTCTGAAAGCCAAGACTTTGTTTAATTGAAATCAGATGAAAACAAACTGTATCTATGATTACGATACACCTTACATTCATAATTCAGCTTGAGGGAGGGGAAGCAGCGCTGCGGAACAGCAGAGTGGCGAGTGAGAGCTGTCATCTTCCCTTTACAAGCTTCAAAAATGTATTTATCGTGTGATTTTGGAAATAAAAGTTTCATATTCTGAAAGCCAAGACTTTGTTTGTTTAAAATCAAACAAAACACCCGAACCCCGAAAAACTATTTTATTTACACAAATCCACGTTTATTTTTTATTTTGAAATGAACCTGAGACTGATTTCGATAGAGCGGGTCACATATAAAAGTCAGCCGAATTAGTGTTGATACTGCAAGGAGACGTATTGTGTGAAGAGAAATAGAAGATGTTGTTTAATTGCTGATATATTTATGATCCACGTCACATTGCATTACATTACATTGCATTTAGCTGACGCTTTTATCCAAAGCGACTTACAATAAGTACATTCGACCAGGAAGACACAACCTTGAAGAAAACAGAATCATATAAGTACATCAGGTTTCATAGAGCCAAACATTTCAAGTGCTACTCAACTGGCTTTAGGTAAGCCAGTCCTTTATTAGTATAAAAGTGCTTTGTTAATAGTTCTAACGCTCGAAGTGGAGTCGAAAGAGATGAGTTTTCAGTTTGCGCCGGAAGATGTGCAAGCTATCTGCCGTCCTGATGCCAATGGGGAGCTCATTCCACCATCTTGGAGCCAGGACAGCAAACCCACGTGTTTTCGCCGATGGGAACTTGGGTCCCCCTCGCAGCGAGGGCGCAACGAGTCGTTTGGCTGATGCAGAGCGTAGTGCACGCGCTGGGGTGTACGGTTTAAACCATGTCCTGGATGTAGGAAGGGCCAGATCCATTCGCAGCATGGTAAGCAAGTACCAGTGTCTTGAAGTGGATTCTAGCAGTTACCGGAAGCCAGTGAAGGGAGCGGAGGAGCGGAGTGGTGTGGGAGAATTTAGGAAGGTTGAAGACCAGACGAGCCGCTGCATTCTGGATGAGCTGCAGAGGTCGGATGGCACATGCAGGTAGACCAGCCAGGAGGGAGTTGCAGTAGTCTAGGCGTGAGATGACGAGAGCCTGGACCAGAACCTGAGTCGCTTTCTGAGTCAGCTGGGGACGTATCTTCCTGATGTTGTAAAGCGTGTATCTGCAGCAACGGGTTGTAGCAGCGATGTTTGCAGTGAAGGACAGGTTGTTATCTAGGGTCACACCCAGATTCCTTGCAGTCTGAGTCGGGGAAACAACTGAGGTGCCGATGTTGATTGTTAGGTCAAGAGTGGGACAATCTTTTCCCGGGAGGAAGAGCAGTTCAGTCTTGTCAAGGTTAAGCTTGAGGTGGTGAGCAGACATCCACTGAGAGATGTCAGCTAGACAAGCAGAGATGCGTGCAACGACCTGGGTCTCTGAGCGGGGAAAGGACAGAATTAATTGGGTGTCGTCAGCGTAGCAGTGGTAAGAAAAACCATGCGGGCTAATGACTGATCCGAGCGAGTTTGTGTACAGGGAGAAGAGGAGGGGACCAAGAACAGAGCCCTGAGGGACCCCCGTAGTTAATTGACAAGGGTCGGACTCAGACCCTCTCCAAGTCACCCTGTAGGTACGGTCTTTCAGGTATGAGGTGAGGAGGGAAAGTGCAGAGCCTGAAACTCCAAGTTTTTGGAGAGTGCGAAGGAGGATCTGATGATTCACCGTGTCGAATGCAGCAGACAGGTCCAATAGGATGGACGTCACGTATTCAGTTTTGGTGGCAGTTCTTCCAGTTTGTCTAGAAGTCTTCTCATCAGGGCTCTATAAATAAAGAACTACGACAGATGTGTAATATTTAATGCAGCAGAACCGTGTATTACAATGTCGTTATGTGATGACTTCCAAAGAGAAAAGCAAGCACACTCGGATTAAAGTATTATTATTTTTAATTTGTTTATGTTTTCGGATGTCATATCGTATAAACACCATATCCCAACGTGCATTGCGGCTAAAACATCCAATCACCGAGCTTCAACCATTGCTGAAGACCTTGGGTAATCAGTTCAGTGGGTGTGTATCGCCTACATCTGGTTCAAGTGACTTTATTTTGAAATTCAGTTCCTGACGGACGGCAAAAAAGCCCGATATTATAGAATTAAACAAATGAATAAAAACAAGGATAATTGTATGTTATTGTTGAGTAAATAACAATGTGTTATTTAGAAAAGAATAACAAAAAAGATTTAAAAAATACAGATCTCAGTATTCTGCGGCTCTGAGCCCCATTTATTTTCTTCACGGACGGCTAAGTAAGTCCGACATTATACGATTTAAAATAAAAACAATAATCGTGGCTTGATATTGAGTAAGAAAATGTTTTTATGAACCAGCTTCCGGTCTGCCAAGACCCGACCGGACAAAAATACGTGGTGCAGGCACGAAACATACTACCAATAGAAATACATTGCTTTTAAAATCGTTCTGTGTGACACGAGAAAAAGGGGAAAATCGTGTTTGTGAACACGAATCAATAGATTAAATGTTGTGACTATAACACGAAATGCCGTCAGACTGGGTTGCTTGGACAGGTAAAGCAGGCTTTGTGGCTGCTGCCACACAAATTAGCATAATTAGCTTATGATAAGATTCTAGGCTTTAACAATAACGTGAGTGCTGCGTCTCAATTTGGATACTTCCCTAAGTACACTGCCATGTCGTACAATGTCAACCTTTGTGTAGTATGTACATTTTGACCATGCAGGGTTGTCTTAAATCGCACACATCTGTGGTTTCATCGGATGAGACGATTGCAAGCTAGCTAGCTAGCAACAATTGTTTGAGGTACCAAATCTTTAAAAGTTGCTAAAAGTAACCATATAAAATAAATGGTAGCTTCAGTACACTTGTATTGTGGTATATTACTTACAGTACATAGTGAAAACAAATAGCCTACTTGTATAACTCCCGCACAATCGCAGCTGGTCCTGTAACTTCCGCTACTTAGGCAATATGGCGGCTGTTAAGTGCGAGACGAGTCCAGTGTTCCACACTCAACGTTTTCACCTTTTATGAGTGATCCATCTGGGTACTCTTAGCACATTTTGCCATACTTTGCATTAGGTACACTTAAAGGTCCCATGACATGCTTTTCCGGTTATTACCCGCCCTCTTGTGTGTTATGAAGGTTTTTCTGCATGTAAACGGCCTGCAGAGTCACAAATCCTAAAAGTACACCCTGTAGCGAGTAAAACTCTAACACAGAAAATACCTGTCTATGCTGCCCGAGAACGCCTCGTTGGAGATTTTTATTTTTCCATTTTCTTCTTCCTGGTCATAGTGACGTAACACTGCGGAGCTCCGCACACACACACACTCACTCAGCCTTATCTTTTCTCAGCCGCAGTTGTGCGCGGAGCTCCGTGCACACTCGGAGCTCAGGCTGTGAGTGTGTGCTCAGGCTGAGCTCCTCGGTGTCTCGCAGACCCCACGCAGCAACCAGGAAACGACACCAGTAATACAGCTCACACTGTCCGCTCCTTGAGCCTCAAAGGGTGGAGCCGCGAGCCCCGCAACGTCCCGCCAACACCCCACGCAGCATTCTCATCTGTTTGTCATTACTGCTGTCATTTTCTGGTTGCTAACAAACGCCATTGTAACACATAAACACTGATGTCCAGCTGTAACGGTGGTTGACCAATCAGTGCACAGTGGGCTCATAGGGGGGGGGGGCAGGAGCTCCAACAAGGCGTGTAGGACAGAGAGTAAATACACATACTATACAGAGATGCTGTATGACAAACTAATGTGACTTTGGAACATTGAACAATGTAAATATATTCTAGTAGACCTCAACAATGAAATTATGATCAGTAGAAATGGCCATGTCATGGGACCTTTAACTTAACTAAAACAGTGAATGTATGTCAAACGCAAAACACACAGCCATAGGCTACTAAAGAAGATTGCAAGCTAGTAAGCATAACAGCCAATGTTAGGGCAGATTACGACACAATTTAATTGATTCCATTTTACTCAGAAACCTGCTTCAGAATGTGGAGAGTTCGAGCTTGACAGTCAGTGCATAGTCACTGTTGCTAAACCATGGACTATTGGAAGTGTTCTGGAAAGGGAGTTACGAACAGATTCAACTTCATTTTCACCATGTCTAATGCATGATGGTAAATCCATAACTCATCATGCCATATTTTTCCATACTATCTCCTTCCCCATTTCCTCCCATCATCTCCCCTGCCTACCCCCAACCATCCTATCTCCCCCCCTTCCCTGGGGTCTGGAACGGGTCAACTACCCGCGATGTGGTCTTTGCCCTCTGTGGTAGGTACTTCCATTCGCCAACGGACACTAAGGAGCTACTCTACGACCCAGCGTCCGTGATGAACGGAGACACGCTCAAGTTCTGCATAAAGGAGGCCTGGTGCAAGCTGTCCTTCTTCGTCCTATCCTTCTTCTACTATCTCTACTGGTGAGCATGTGGCGGGCGGTGTTGGACGATAATTGGATTACATGTAAAGACATTACGTTAATCTTAATTATTACAGCTAGAGTTAAACATCTATGAAACTGTGATAAAGAGCACTCAAATGTTTGTTTTTTTCAAACCCTATTTCTATTTCACTTGGTTTGTTTTCCCAGCTCTGATAAAGCAAAGTGAGTGCAAATCATTGAATAAAGCAACCATTTCTCTGGCAATCACATGCAAGTTATTTCACATACTGTGGCTCTGTCAAGCTAACTAGGTTTACTATAAGGCCCACTACTGCTAATGCGTGTGATGTTACGAGAATTGGATTCTTTACTTCATTGAGAAACACTACCAGAAGGTTAAAACTACTATACATTGGTAAAAAAATGGTTGCACTAATGTTTTTGATGAAATGTTCGATGATAATAGTGCATAATGTTCCTGTTTCTTGTCTAATAATGCTGTTATTAATCACTCCGGATTCTTGTTCCTTGTGTCATGTGGTTGCTGCAGTGTATGGAACCTGGATATATCCGTCTAATAGAACTTTTCAATGGAAACACTTAAAGGTACAATCCTTTTTTTTACCTTTTATTCTGTGGTAGTAAAGACATAATGGCTTTATTCTCAACAAAAATAATTAAACCAAATGATCTTCCATATGGACACAGTTGATCTTGATAGGGTCTAAGCTTACATGTCATGAAAGGCTGCTGTGACTAGATGGATACAAGATTTAAGTGGATTTTTGTGGAGCCGTGTTGGTTACAAATTATAGTTTGTAGTGGCCAAACATGGCAGCATCAGCACAGAATTCTTGAAGACTAATTATCCCAAAAAGGATTGCAACTTTAACATGGAGTTGTTCTTTTATATGCGTGATAAGGCTATGAGTAAACACTTGAAACATGCTGGCCAGTCCTATCCTTGCAAATATGCTGTTGCTGTCTTGTTATGAAGGTAGGTACTTTGTTAATAGTGATGTCAATAGGTTTATCACAGTTTTACCACACAGTTAGAAAAGCAACATCATGAGCAATGGATCCAGTGTTTGGTTTTAATTACAAGTAGATGAAGATATGCCAGGGAGACGAGGTGCTGTTTCTTGATAATAGCTACATTTTCTGAGATATTTTCGGACTAATTCCAATTTTCTTTATTGCAATATACCCAAACCATATTCCCCTGGTAAAAACACCTTGTTGTCACAGCTATATTAAAGTGTTCAGGTTCCAATATTTCTGGAAATCCCCATTGTTTTTTAGTCACAAGGCATATTTTTCTTTAACATTTCTTTAAGGAATCATAAAAAGTATAGACATGGAGTTTATAATATGCTTTCTCCTGGCATGGTAGAGATACAAGAGTGGAATACATTAAAGAGCTTGTTTAATACCGATATGTATTTCATCCATTTTCATACCAATGCCTACATGAATCAGGAGATATGATTTAGTAGGTTCAAAACACAATACACTTTTAAGGTGAAGTTAAAGGTAGATTTCTATAAAACTACGAATTATACTTAACATCACTTTCCTATAAGCATTTCAAAATAGTTTTGAGAATATTTAATTGAACATGTTGACATGGGTGTAGTTGTAAACCATACTCTTTAACTTGTGCCATCTTGCTTCTCCATCTCACTTCATCCTGTCGGCTCTAGCTTATGCTGTGCTAGAGAACCCTGGCCACAGCAGCAGCAGCAGCAGCAGCGAGGTACAGTACTCTACAAAGCAGGGCGATGGTTCATTCACTTTCATTTCACTATCAGAGTAAAATATACTATAACCATGAAATTATTTTGAAAATATTGGCTTGTTTAACAAAGGATACCTGGCTTTCATAGTGTAGTGCCGATGCTTGTACCTCTTTTTCTATTATAGTCTACTTTATATTTGTATTATATATCTTCAACTGAGGTGAGACCTCGTAAAAATGCAATGGTGTCATAAATCCAGATTTTTTTAAAGCAATTGCATTGGTGATTTAAGTTATCATAACTAACAGAAAATGTACACAATCACATCTCAGGTTGTAGGAAAATCTTAAAACAGTAACATAAATTAGGCTCTTATGATATTATGTATGGTCCTAACGTGGTCATTCTATTGACACGCAACGGCTGAAAAGCAACATCAATTTGGTATAGATCTTGGTGGTCAGTATAAACAGTAAACTAAGTTGTGGATGAGTTCAGTATAGTGATGAATAGAAACTGGTAATAATGAAAGCGAATTGGCCTGAAACCTGCTTATTGGGGCTTTTTCTGTGTTATTGCCTTGTCACACTGACCCTTCTATACTCCTCTAACCTGCATCTGTGTTCTAAATATCCTTTACAAAACTGTGCACACCAAATACAAACAGACCCACACGGGTATACACATTATGAACGTGTGCATGCCCTCTCAGGCACACAGATGAACACACAGTTCCACCTGAGCACTCACCTCCACGCCCGGGTGAAGAGTGATTTCAAATCATTTTAGTTGCTTAGTGGAGCAAATGTACACTGGAATCTAAAACTGTTGGGTTTTTAGGCCGAAGGAAAAGCTGCACCGGCTCAAAGATGGGCTTAATTCTTTATTTTTTAGATGATTTCCCATACGGCTTTTTGTGGAATGATAAGAAACCTATACACAATAGAGTGGTGCAGGAATGAGTCATAAAACTGCATGGCCACTTCCAGTTTCTTCAAAGATATTTTTGGTTAGATGCCTGAAATAAAGTCTGTGATTACCAAAACCTAAATTGATTTTTGTTCAAGGACATAAATCACATCATTAAATACCTCACTGGTGAATATCCTAAGGATATGTGTCATAAAAAAACATCTATTTCTAATTAATGATTAAATGAGACTACAAAATGTCATCACGCAGAACATTAGCGGCCTTTAGCTAAGCAGTGGTGATACGTAGCCATGCGACTGTTATATAGTTTGTTTGTATCCTAACGTTAGCATTTTACTTTAAAGTGTTGTAAATATATGTAATTATCCTGCTGAACAAAACGTGTAAGGATCATAAACCCGTGTTTACCAAAGAGCTGTTATCCATAATCCACAAGAAAAATCTCATTGCTTCTTCACAACGGAACCTACTAAATTTCAGTCGGCCTACAAAAATAGGTCATAGCTGCACCACTCTGTTTCATATTGTGTCAAATACAAATACTAGAAGAGAACCCCAGATGAGCTCTCTGCTCTCTCCTCCTAAACTGTAGCTCCTCTGACACCTGAAGATAATAAAGAAAACCTGACTGACTCAGGATCTCTTCTCAGAATGTGACCTTTTACCTTTACCCTCCCAACATTTCACCTTTCCTATCCTAAACTTGTGGTTTCTGTCACAGGGATTATTTGTCAAACGTGACGAGTACTTTCCCCTGCAAGATGTGTACACGATTCCTGTTTACCCCTGTGGTCTAAAATAATGGTCCTCAGCATGTTGTATCCACGTGCTATCCTGCTGTGTGGTCTAACCTTTGTATAGTACTTGTTGTTCTTCACATCTTTAAGGGCATGAACATCTGTCCTCTATTGGTTCACACATACACACATGCAGGGGATTTAAAGGGCACATTTGGGTAAGAACATGTTGTTCCTCACTGGTACAACTACTGTCCTCTAGAACAGTGGTTCTCAAACTTTTTTCAATAATATACCCCCTTTGAAAAAATAATTCAGCCAAGTACCCCCTGATCAGCGCAAACAAAATTGTTAGGGAAAAAATGCCTATATAAAGAGGTACAGCACAGCGCTGCACCATCAGTGTCTGATTTATTGAAACAACAACATTGTAACTGAGAAACACTTAAATGCTACATTTCAAATGTTTACAATCCATCACTAAATTCATGGAAAACCAATTTTAACATCATGCAATAACATTAAGACGACATTAGTTGCATTGAACTGATCTTTTTAATAAGTTGTACTTACAATGTAGTGAGAAACATGGGCTTGTGCTTCACTGAGGATCTTTGTCATTCTGACAGGAAGGCAAACTGCAGTTATTACACTTCGCGTTTTGAAATATGTGTAACTCTGTTCATATAAAACCCACACTGCTCAAACTTCGTTACTTTTCCTAAAATTGGTATATTTATATATTTTTTTGGGGGCTATGGGAATGAAGAGAAAACAATATATGAGCATTTTATGAGCACGGGATTTTGACCCCTCATATAAACATATGCATAATGCTGCGCTATACTTTGCGGCCACACACCGTTGCCAAGCAACGCTTATTGTTTAGGTGTCCTTTGAGAAGCAGGCAGTCATATAATTAACTAGAACTAGCTAGATCTGATAGATTTGGACATAAACGCGAGTGAAGTCTATCCGGACGCGAGAGAGGAATCAGATATCAGATCAGCTGCTGCTGACGGAGAACACGCAGCTCTGCATGATCACAGCTCCGCCGCTGTGACGGACCGTTGAGCGGAGCAAAATGAAATACACTAAGAGTTAGACCTAACACACTTAGCTAGTTTATCTACTCTGGAACTAGCTAAACTAGTTATAAATATACGTATTCTTTACTGTCGGGTCACTTATTACAGGTTCAGCGAGCTGCACGAGACTGATGGGCTGTCAGGAGAGGGAGAGGAAAAGAGAGCACCCCGTTTATTTTTCCCATTTTATTATCCAGAATTACTGTAAACCTTTGAATAAAGTAGTTAATCTACTATTAGCAGTTTGTTTAAATGCATTACTTATGTTGTTTTTTTTCATTAACATAAAAATAAATCTCACGTACCCCCTGCAGTACTCCAACGTACCCCTAGGGGTCCGCGTAGCCCCATTTGAGAACCACTGCTCCGAGAACAACATGTGGTCGATCATCAAAACGCAATACATACAGTACTACAGGTGAAGCAGAAGCAAATGTGTTCATGTATTGTTTTCGCTTGTATCACAATGGTCAATAAAGTGTATGTGTTTGCCAATGGACCAGATTAAATATAAATGTATGCCACTTTTGGTATTTCTAGGTTGGTAGAAAAAACACGTTGAGTTTTGCTCATTACAACCATTGGCAGTCCAGGACTCCTTTTTTATGTCCATGTTGTTGGCCCCCCGAATTGGCTGACTGGCAGCAGGTTATTTCAGATTTCACCAAATGACACAATAAGCTTGCCAAAGACACCGCAAAACACCATTGTACGATTAGGAATTGGCTGTTTTCGTAGTTCAATCATGAGCAATAGCGTAGCAAGTCTTTTCTTGACAAAAAGGAAGGAACGATCAATCACAGTAATTTGAATAACCCAGTTATCTTGCACATATCTCAATACGTCTATCAACTGTTCTGAATTGGGATCTTCAGGGAGGTTTAGGTTATGGAGAACAACCAATAAATCTTTACCATAAAAAATGTATTTGCACATTCATATTCACCTCAGGAACAATTAATTATTTAATGTAATGTTATTTTTCTTCTAGCCCCTTCATAAGGGTTTCACTTTGTCGAATACTTTGGTTTATGACCTGCATTACTAACACATGCTGTGCTAACTAACAAAAATTAGCACGCTAACAGACGAAATTAAGATAGTGAACATGGTAAACACAATTTCTGCTAACATTTTTCAAGCTATCACAACCCAGTCTCACGGCATTTCGTGTTATAGTCACGACATTTAATCTATTGATTCGTGTTCACCAACATGATTTTCCCCTTTTTCTCCACACAGAACGATTTTAAAAGCAACGTATTTCTATTGGCAGTATGTTTAGTGCCTGTGTTATTCTTTTCTAAATAACACACTGTTATTTACTCAACAATAACACACAATTATCCTTGTTTTTATTTATTTGTTTAATTCTATAATCTCTGGCTTTTTTTGACGTCCGTCAGGAACTGAATTTCAAAATAAAATAACCGGAAACAGACGTAGGCCTGTAAGGGACATTTCGAGCCTCATTGCGATACACACCCACTGAACTGATTACCCAAGATCCTCAGCTAGGGTTTAAGCTCGGTTGTTGGATGTTTTAGCCGCAATGCACGATGGGATATGGTGTTAATGCGATATGAAATCCGAAAAACATTTCAGAGTTTAGGATGGCCGAAGACCATACACTACCCATAATCCTCAGCTATCGTTTGGGACTAAAGTCCCTTTGCTTGACAAACCCCGTGATTAATCTTCAAGCTCTGGGATTGGATGTTGGAGTGGCAGGTTACGCCGAGCGTCAAACAGCTCTTTGAAATGGAACGAAACCACGGCAGACTATCCAAAACTGGACTCGAACGGGACCAGCGACCCCCCCCCAGAACTACACATGCTGGCTATTGTGTTTTGCAAAATGTCCTATGGGATGTCTCTACTGGGAACGTTTTTCGTTTTTCCCACAATTAGAAGTTGCCAGTATTAAACACATTGGTGTTATCACATTTAAAACATATAATTAATAAATGGGTGAAAATCGCTTGTATCCATAATGGGCAGCATTAATATTTACCCACATGACAGCTCATTGTTACTTTGTAATTCTTCTCCACTACAATTCAGAGGTTAACCTGGTATTTTTACTCCACTACATTTATTTGAGTTACTTTGCAGATTCTGATTAATGATGTGAAATATAAACAACCCTTAAATCAGGCTTTAGTTACACCTGAGTAAAATTCAGGGAAGGTGATTGTCAAGTGCCAACAATCAGGAGAGATATTTGATAGTTGGTGCTTGAGAAGACTAAACATGTAT